TATTGCACATGAGGGAAAATATTTTTCTATTCGATGTCACCGATAGGAAACCAATGGGAAGGTATAAACTGAAATTTAGTACAACTGCAAACGGAGAATCTAATGATGCTTTTTGGGCAATAAGTGATATTAGAAGTTGTAGTATAGGTAAATATATTTTATTCAACAAATTACATTTTATTGAATTTAAACCAGTATAATTTTTATTGTTGTAGATGAATACAAGTTTTTACCATTCAAAGGCCTTCTTTATCTAACTGATACACAGTGTCTACTTTTGAATAAAACTATAATGGATACTTTATCAAATTATAATTTGACAGAACATTTAAGAAAAGATGGACCTTTCGATTGTTCCGAATGGTTTGATTCAAAAGCAAATTGCAAAGGAATTCGACTCAGATCATTAGATGGAAATCAAACCAGTTGCATTCCCGGATACTACGGAGCAGATTGCAAAAGTACTAAAAATCAAAATAATACTAAAATTCTTTAAATAATAGATATTATAATTTAATATCTCTCTAATGATTAGAGCATGGTTTTAAGTAAAACTTACTTATCATTTCTTTAATAATTTATTACATTTCTACAAAATTGCAATACTAGAAACTCACACAAAAATCATCATAACATTTTTGATATAAAGATGAATTTTAATATTTTAGCTAAAACTATGGTTGCACAGAAAATTAACGCCACAGAGCCAAATTATTCAAAAATGAAAATTCGACTCAATTCATTAGATATTATTGGAAGTTGGGCAGATTATATGACATTGCAATATCAGGTGAATGATGGAAGTTCATCTGGAAGTCCTTGGAAAAATATTGGAGATCCAGTGCCAATCTCAAAATATAACGAAACAAATATAAATGTACCTGATAAAATAGCAAGAGATAGTTTGAGTATCCATAATAATAAGAAGGAAATATTGTTAAGAGTTTTGCTGCTTCTGGATGGAAAAAATGAATACAATGATTATGTACAAGGGTCAAGTGTGGTAGTGACATGTGACAGTGCAGTTGGTGGTAGAGGTATTACGTGTTCAAAATTTGTTTAAATTTTAAAATATAACATATGAAAAACAATAAGATCATTAATGAAAATGTCAATTTTGACAAACATATTCGCGTCTAATTTTTGCTCTGTTTTTATATTATCATCGTTAATGGAAATGAAACCCTTTTTTCATTGTAATGGCTATAAAGCGAATAGCAGAAAATAATATATATATATATATTATATATATATATATATATATATATATATATATATATATATATACTGATGATAATAATTTATTATTTTGTCGGATGCATGTTATATATATATATATATATATATCTTGATATTGTATATTTATTTGATTATATATATATATATAATTTTTCGATATTAATATCTCGTTTTTTAGACCTTGAGTGGAGACAAAACATATTCTACTATTTTTTACTTTTTCTTATTAATTTTTATTTTTGTAATTTCGCACAGCTTGAAGAAGAGCAATCTCTGTATTTTTACCAAGATGTTCACCTAAAAAAGAATAACTATACATACATACATACATATACACACACACATATATATATATATATATATATATATATATATATATATATATATTACTAACATTAATTGATGATGGTTATTAATGTTAGTCAATAGTTTTTAAAAAAACATTGTCTTTGACAGAATAAACCTGATGATGGAACGTATCTAGTTCCGAAACGTCGTTATTAAACATCTTCAAAAAACAAAAAATTGTTTTTTATTATTGCATTTACTGCTCGGAAAAGAAACAATCAATATATTGAAAAAATCCAGGACTTATCTATTGAATATATATATATATATATATATATATATATATATATATTAACCAGTGTACATATAAAAAAAATAAATATATGCAAATAAATGTTACAGGAATTGTAACGGAACCGACAAAAAATGATGTAAGAATAGCAATGGTAAGTAAGTGATTAAATTAAAATGCAAAATAGATCTTAAAAATAATTTTTAAAATTGATTAATTCTTAAATCTCGAAACAGGATACTAAATTGTTAAGTTATTGTCCTTTGGATTATTATGATACCATTAAAATAAAAGGAGATACAAAGGAAAACATTGCTACTCGATTCAACAATACCGCATATATAATTAGAAATTTACAACCTTATACAAATTACACCATCGAATTCAGAGCAGGAACAAAGTACTTCACAAAAGATTTTATGACTCAAGAAGGAGGTAACTGTTTAACATTGACTATTAATTCATTTATTATAATAAATTTTATTGCAGATCTAATTCTAAATATTTTTCAGAACCTGGACCAGTTTTAAACCTGACTGCGTATTCTTTTGATGGTGACAAGTTGTCTTTACGATGGAGACCGCCTGTCAAAACTAGAGGAGCAACAATTGAAAAATATTCAATCACAATATTTGGTGCAAACGATAAAAATATAAGAACAACCACTGTATCTAAATCTGAGGCATCTTGTCCATTATGGGAAGGATATTTATGTTCGACAATAGAAAAACTGGATTCAAGCCTTAAAAAAGTTGAGGTAAATTTGTCACATTTATGAGAAATTATTAAAACACTCAAATATAATTTAATTTTGAGCTATTTTTTTACAGGTTCGTGCCGCGTCAAAACTTTATGAAGGCGATCCAACTGTGATAGATGATATAATCCTCGAACAAAAAAGTATGTTTTTTTGATTTAATTTTTACTTTTCAAAAGTATTTACAAATTTTAATACGAAATACAATTTAAAATATTTCAATCTTAATAGAATCTACTCGCAAAATATCATAATTTAAAAATACAACAGCCTTTGAACTTTTCAACTATATAATATTTTAATGGACAGTTTCAGACATTCTATTTATAATATGAATAGAATGTCTGAAACTGTCCATTGAAATATTTTATAGTTGAAAAGTTAAAGTGATGTTGTATTTTTAAATTATAATATTTCACGAGTAGATTCTATTAAAATAGAAATATTTAAGACAAACTGTATGCAATACAGTGCTCTAGATATTTAAATTTTGTATCTAGAATCCTGTATTGCACACAATTTTTTTTAAATATTTCTTTGGTATCTATTTCTTCTTAGGTATTTCTGAATTGAATATTTGTCAAATTACAACATTAAACTTATACTAGAATTTAAAAAAATCTTTCAAATTTTATTGAAGATTAGTCAAATTCTTACTAAAATTACTAGATTGAAAAAAAACTTCTAAATTATCTAAATATTTTATAATAATTAGATGAATGTATGACAAATGTTTTATACTGGATTTTACTGTTTGCAATACACACACACACACACATACATATATATATATATGTGTGTGTGTGTGTTTGTGTATATAATTTTTGTCATAATTTTAATGTTGAAATATGTGAGCCAAAATATTCAGGGCAAAATATTATTATATTTTTAATTTAAATTTTTGTCATAATTTTAATGTTGAAATATGTGAGTCAAAATGTTCAGGAAAAAATATTAATTTTCTTTTTAATTTAAAGATTCTTTAGTATTAGATATTCAGTATCTAATCAATAAGTTTAGTATCTACCTTTAGAAACGTATGCCAGATTAACAAAACTTTTAAATTGCCTACTAAATTAAAAATAATTAGATTCATGTAAGACAAATGAATGACAAATAAATTTTGTGACAGTTTTAATATTGAAATACGTCCAAACCTTTAGAGCAATATATTAATTATTAATTTCTAAAATTTAAACATTGTTTAGTATTTTTATACGTTTAGACATATTATCTTAAAAATAGTAAATTGGAATGTTTCTTATTAATTAACGACAATTCACAATAATACCACTGGACTATTTGTTGTTAATTTAAATAAAAAAAAAATCGGTCAACGAAATTGTAAAATTCTGAAAATTGTATTTGATGTATAGCCCTAAATATTCTATTATAAGAATAAGTAAGTAATTTCAATGTTTTTTAAAATGCAGAACACCTTTCTAGTCATAGTTTGAAAAAGTTTGAATTAAAAAATGGCATATGCCCAGTTATTTAAAATACTTAATTATTTTTGCATTTTTTTATAAACGTTTCGGATACTAATTCGACGTCTCTTCAGTTGACAAACACAAATTATTTGACAAGAAACTAATTCATACAAAATGAACAAAAAGCATATATAACAATAATTGTTAAAATGAATTATATTTTTAATATAAAAATTTAATTTAAAGTAATATCTAACCGACAACTATCTTGCAAGGATATAACTAAAATTTTCAATACATAGTTTTATATTAATACTAGCTGACTCGGCGAACTTTATTCCGCCTTAATGGCAATAAATAAGCAGTTTTTTTTAAATTGGAAAAAATACCAACAAAATATAAATTAACCAGAATTAATATATAACTATATACAATTTTATTACAAATTTTGATGTTATGTTAAAAAACTATTTAAAAAACGGGATAAAATGTGTCCTATGTCTTTCTTCTGGCTCTAAACTACCTCCCTGCCAATTTTCAGCTAAATCGGTTCAGCCGTTTGTGAGTTATAAGAGTAACTAACACAATATTTTTTTTATATATATAGATGTATTAAAATATTGTAAAAAATTGAACAATTTATTTAATATTTAACTTATTTTTTTAGAACCAAGTGCACCATTGAACTTGCATGTTGACCCAGATCATCATGACACAATAGTTTGGGAACATCCTTGGATTCCTGGTGGAAAAATTAACCAGTTCCGAATATCATGGACACTAAATTCATCTGAGCTACTCTTTACTCCTGGTAGTAATATACCAAATGAGAATTTTATAGTATCCAAAGATCAGAAACAATATACATTCAAGGTAACTTATCTCATCAATGCCTCATTGCCAACTTATTTAATTTTTTTTAAATATTTAGTTAAAAGAAATAGCTTTCGCCAGCACTTACAAAGTAAAAGTAAGAGCTTTCAATTCCCTTGAAGGAGATGAGACTGAAATTGAATTAAAGACGCCACTGCCAATCCCAGACTTCAATGGACAATTAGAAACGAAACGATTGGGTGCACATAGAATAGAAATTAATATTCCTCTCAATACGAGTAGTTTAGCAAATTCAACCAAGAACAGGTACAACAATAGTAATAATAGACAATGTTGTCCTGGAATGTTATTTGGATTACATTTTTCAGAGGTTACTATGTGGTCGTACGTGAACTCCAAAGTGAAAATGTTTCTGATGACAAAAAAAATTATCGGGATCAATATCAATCTAGATACAAAAAGATATTTGAAGAGGCCAAAGTTGATAATAAATCTAATGTTGTTGCATGGATAGCAAAACAAATAAATATTGTAAACTGTTCATTACATAACTTATATTGGATAGATTTTGGTAACAACTTTTCCCATTTACAGACAGGAAATACAAGGATAGATCATAAAGTGGTGATTGGCACAGGGATGAATGATAGTAGTGATTTTTACGATTTCGTGTTATCAGATGCAATAAACTACACAATAGCTTTAGTATTTTACAACTTTGATGGTAAAAATTACACATACAAGACTTTGTTCAATGAGAAAATTACTGAAATAGAACAAAGTTCTTTAGCTTCCTTATGGTTCCTCCTGCTTTTGCTGATTCCCATTTTGGCAGCTGCCATATTCATTGCGTAAGTAAGAAAAATATTTATATTATAAATTCCACACTTAAAAGAATTTTCTTGATAGTTGAAACTAGTGAATTTCCTTAAACAGTTAAAAATAGTAAATTGTTCATATAGAGGCAAGATAATTTTTCAATTACTATACAATATTAGTAACAATTAAAAGCTATATTAACAGAAGATAGGACTTAATATTAGTACGCTTTGCTTGAAAAAAAAAGTACAAAATTATCAGAAAAATTCAAAATACAATATAGAAAAATTTAATTTTCTCAAAAAAGTCTATTTTTTTTTCCAAAAAAATTAAAATTCACAAAAATCTCATTATTTTCAAAGTTTTCAAAAAATTTTAAAGGTTTTTTAAAAATTTTAATTTTCGGTACGGGAAGTTCCAGCAGTTTGACTTAAGGCACGATGCCATGCACCACTGGTTTTTGAAAATATAATAAACTATTTTTTTATATGAACAACTTTTACTTTTCTCATAATAAAAACAAATTTAAACACTAGAATCCTTCTACTAGTTGGTCACCATATATGCATGATTTATATAAATATTCGGTTTATACTCATATTTATAGTTTCACAAAGTAGCTTATAAATTTACAAGATCGGTCCTGCCGTTTAAAAAAAAACATCGGCGAAAAAGTCAAATTTCATATTTTTAACTTCCCGTAGGGTAAGTTATAGTAATCGCAAAAAAATCGAAAATGAAAATTTTTATATATCTTTACGTTTCAAAGGTTTCTGAACATTTTGGCATACCTTAGAAAAAATGGATGTATGTGTGTGTGTGTGTGTGTGTGTGTGTATGTGTGTGTATGTATGTACGTGTGTGTATGTATGTGCGGATACAAATTTTCGTCGACGATTTCGGGAACACGGATCAACCGATTTGAATAATTCAAAAAACATTCGATTCGTATTGATAAGGAGACGTTGATTAGTTTTTGGCGAAGGCAGGTCTAGCCGTTCCGAAGATACGGGGCAAAAAGTACCGAAAACGGTAACTCAGTTTTTAAGAGAACGGATCGTCCGATTTGAATAATTCAAAAAACATTTCACTTGTATTGACAAGATGAAGAATCGATGAAATTTTCATGAAGGTAGGTCTAGCAGTTTCGGAGATATGGAGGAAAAAGTAAAAAAATGAGCCATTTGGCGGTCAAAAATGATCATTAGACATATGCTCATCAAATTATCAGATATTTTATAGAGATTTTAACAATAAGTATACATTTTGTCAACATTCCTATGGGTTCCGTACCAATGCTTATGCGTTAGACAGCGACGCGGCGCTTACGCGCTTTATATTTTGGGCCTATGCAGTTAAAGCAGTACGATTGCTTTGAAAAAAGTTCAAATCTTCCACAATATGTCAAAATAAATAAATTTTTTTTTTTCAAAAAAAAAAAAATTAAAAAAAAATTTTTTTTCAAAAAAAGATATTTTTTGTCCAATTTATAGTTTCCCAAAAATCTTATTTTTTCAAAGTAATTTTTTTTTTCAAAAATGTTAATCGTTTTTAAAAAAATTATAATTTTTGGTACGGAAAGTTCCAGCAATTTGCCTTAAGGCACGATGCCTTAATTGCCTTAAGACAGAATTCCACTTACAGCTAGTTCGGAATCGTAATCATTGTATTGGAATTCGATTTAGACATTTTTTAAGTCAGACCAAAAAAAGCCAAAAAAAGAACTATCATAAATTAGTAAATCTGTGGAAAACTAAAATTTCTCCTTCAAGGAATTAATAAAATATTTTCCCATAATATGTCAAGAAACTTAATAAACCTTTTTTGTTTGTCTTAATATCTGATCTAAAATAAGAGAGCAATTTTATCCAAGAATTGATTTATATAATCAACTATTTTCCAATATAAATATTTTAAATATTGTTAAAACATGGTATTTTAAATATTGTTCCCACACTTTTGGAAACTCTGCACTTGTATACGTGAATCACATTTATTTGCAATCACTGTTATCTTATCAATTCTTAAAAACGCATTCATTTGTAAAAATAATCTGAACCACAAAGAATCACTTTCCCAGTTGCTGAATAGAACACATAAAAATGTACTGTAATTACTAGTAAATTTATTATTACAAAAGTGTTAATTCCAATTTTGGTTCCAGGTTCAAGTACAAAAAGCCAGGGTTCTTGTTCAGAAAATCTGAACCCAAAAACAAACACAATGATATGGCATTGACTCAACCAGAACAACAAATTCGTAATACAAGACCGAAAAGAACTGAAGTAAATCGTCCTCCAATAATTGATTTAAATGATGTCCAGAAGCCTCTAATTTCTATCAAGAACGAAACGCCTACAAAAGATGTTCTTAGTCATCCAGTGATGGTGGAAGATTTTGAAAATTATGTTAAGGAGTCTTTATCAGATGGCACTTTGGAAAAACAACACAATGTAAGAAAAATTACATAAATAGTAGTGAAAATAACCAGAGACTGGACCATGATATTGGGATGCTCCCAACATAGCTTTCACTTCCCAGATGGGATAAAATTTTTTGCAGATTTTTTTATTGCTTTTTAAATGATTTCAGCAATGCATACAATAAAAATTCGCTTAAGCAAGCCACCAATATCCAATACAAGCCACCAATATCCAATACAAGCCACCAATTTCCAATACAAGCCATCAATTTCCAATGCAAGCCTCCAATTTCCAATGCAAGCCCCCAATTTCTGATGCAACTCTTCAATTTCCAATGCAAGTCTTCCAATTTCCAATGCAAGTCTTCCAATTTCCAATGCAAGTCTTCCAATTTCCAATGCAAGACTTCAATTTCAAATGCAACTCTTCAATTTCAAATGCAACTCTTCAATTTCAAATGCAACTCTTCAATTTCAAATGCAACTCTTCAATTTCCAATGCAACTCTTCGAATTTTCAATGCAACTCTTCGAATTTCCAATGCAACTCTTAGAATTTCCAATGCAACTCTTCGAATTTCCAATGCAACTCTTCGAATTTTCAATGCAACTCTTCGAATTTCCAATGCAACTCTTCGAATTTCCAATGCAACTCTTCGAATTTCCAATGCAACTTTTCGAATTTCTAATGCAACTCTTCGAATTTCCAATGCAACTCTTCGAATTTCCAATGCAACTCTTCGAATTTCCAATGCAACTCTTCGAATTTCCAATGCAACTCTTCGAATTTCCAATGCAACTCTTCGAATTTCCAATGCAACTCTTCCAATTTCCAATGCAACTCTTCCAATTTCCAATGCAACTCTTCCAATTTCCAATGCAACTCTTCCAATTTCCAATGCAACTCTTCCAATTTCCAATGCAACTCTTCCAATTTCCAATGCAAGTCTTCCAATTTCCAATGCAAGTCTTCCAATTTCCAATGCAAGTCTTCCAATTTCCAATGCAAGTCTTCCAATTTCAAATGCAACTCTTCAATTTCAAATGCAACTCTTCCAATTTCCAATGCAACTCTTCCAATTTCCAATGCAACTCTTCCAATTTCCAATGCAACTCTTCCAATTTCCAATGCAAGTCTTCCAATTTCCAATGCAAGTCTTCCAATTTCAAATGCAAGACTTCAATTTCAAATGCAAGACTTCAATTTCAAATGCAAGACTTCAATTTCAAATGCAACTCTTCAATTTCAAATGCAACTCTTCAATTTCAAATGCAACTCTTCCAATTTCCAATGCAACTCTTCCAATTTCCAATGCAACTCTTCCAATTTCCAATGCAACTCTTCCAATTTCCAATGCAACTCTTCCAATTTCCAATGCAACTCTTCCAATTTCCAATGCAACTCTTCCAATTTCCAATGCAAGTCTTCCAATTTCCAATGCAAGTCTTCGAATTTCCAATGCAAGTCTTCGAATTTCCAATGCAAGTCTTCGAATTTCAAATGCAACTCTTCGAATTTCAAATGCAACTCTTCGAATTTCCAATGCAAGTCTTCGAATTTCCAATGCAAGTCTTCGAATTTCCAATGCAAGTCTTCGAATTTCAAATGCAACTCTTCGAATTTCAAATGCAACTCTTCGAATTTCCAACGCAACTCTTCGAATTTCAAATGCAACTCTTCGAATTTCAAATGCCACTCTTCGAATTTCAAATGCAACTCTTCGAATTTCAAATGCAACTCTTCGAATTTCAAATGCAACTCTTCGAATTTCCAATGCAACTCTTCGAATTTCAAATGCAACTCTTCGAATTTCCAATGCAAGCCTTCAACAATTTCCAACGCAAGACTTCAATTTCTAATGCAAGACTTAAATTTCTTATGCAAATCTTCAATTTCTTATGCAAGCCTTCCAATTTCCAATGCAAGCCTTCCAATTTCCAATGCAAGCCTTCCAATTTCCAATGCAAGCCTTCCAATTTCCAATGCAAGCCTTCCAATTTCCAATGCAAGCCTTCCAATTTCCAATGCAAGCCTTCCAATTTCCAATGCAAGCCTTCCAATTTCTTATGCAAGTCTTCAATTTCTTATGCAAGTCTTCAATTTCTTATGCAAGTCTTCAATTTCAAATAACATTTTATGTTCCAAGATAGATTTAAAGTGTGGAGTAACTAGCTGTATGTGGCCTTGAGGCAAGTTGCCTAAACTTTTTAAGAATATTTTAACCAAAATCGAATTTTGTAACTTAATTTAGTTTCCTTTACTATTCCTCCATAATATTGGAGCAATTGCAATTGCATCAACTTCATTATTGCTAATTTTATTTTCATTCCTGTTAGCTTTTTGGGAAGAGCTTAATAGTTTTACCAATAATAAAAAAATACCTATATTTCTCAATAAATTTCTATTAATTGTAAGTATATATTTTTTTATTTTATTTTTAGATGTTCCCAAGAGATTTGCTGTATCCTGTTACAGTTGGAGCAAAAATTGAGAATAAAACCAAGAATCGTTACATAAATTTAATCGCATGTAAGAAATTATTTAATCAATTTCAGGATCATAATTTATATAAATAAATATAATGCCTTCATGTTTTTTTATTTAAGATGATAGCACCAGAGTAAAATTGCAGCCACTTCCAAACGATCCAAATTCTGATTATATTAATGCCAACTACATTGACGTAAGTAATTATAAATGATATATACTTTTCACATTTTTACTAAAAAAATCACCTTGACAAATTGTTTATTTGGGTAACGACTTAGTATTATATTATCACAGAATTTTAGGTTTTTTTTCGGATAACTTGAAAAAACCATTTCGACACGTTTTAAAGTCTTATTTATTTTTTATTGTTATTGATTATATAATTGGCTCTAATTAATTTGTTAACATGGAAGTATAATCAGTTACAAAACCTCACACTCTGATAAAAAAAGTAAATTTGTGGTCGAAATAGTGGACTTCTGGTCGAAGTCGTCAATTCTGGTAAACATCTAGTCTAACTAATATCAGTTTTCTTTCATTTTTTATCAGTCTTCAATTTTTTAATTGATGTCTTCATTTTCTAGTTTATATTGTTCATTTCTGGCTTCAACTGGCTTCTTTTTTTCTCGAATTTCTTCTTTCATTTCTGATCAATGCTTTCCATTTCTGATCAATATCTTCAATTTCCTCAATTTCTAATCATTGTTTTTAATTTTCTCAATTTCTAATCAATGTCTTAAATTTCTGATCAATATCTTAAATTTCTAGTTTATGTTGTCAATTTCTGGTCGATAATCGTCAATTTTTAGACGATGTGTTCAACTAATAGTCAATGTCTTCAGTTTCTAATATATGTCTACAATTTCTAACCAATGCCTTCAATAATGAAAGTCTTCAATTTCTAATCAATTTCTTCAATTTCTGATCAATGTCTTGAATTTATAATCAATATCTTCAATTTCTAAACAGTGCCCTCGACTTCTAGTCGAAGTTGTCAATTTCTGGTCAATAATCGTCAATTTTTAGACGATGTCTTTAACTAATAGTAGAAGTCTTCAGTTTCTAATACATGTATTCAATTTCTAGTTTCATGTCTTAAATTTCTAACCAATGCCTTCAATTTTCAATCAATGTCTTCAATATCTGATCGATGTCTTAAATTTCTAACCAATGCCTTCAATTTCTGATCAATGTCTTCAATTTCTAATTAATGTCCTTAATTTCTAATCAATGTCTTGGAGTTCTAGTTCAGGTTGTCAATTTCTGGCCAATATCTTCAATTTCTAGACGATGTCTTAAATTTTTAATCAATCTTTTGAATTTCTAATCAATATTAAAATTCTAGTTGATGTTAATTTTTGGCCGATTTCCTAAAATATCAAACGCTTGTATTGACAAAAGAATTGCTTTTGAGGATAAAAAATTATTACACCTTTTTTATTTTTCATAAAATATTTTTGTAATTTTGGATTAAAAATTTAAAAAATTACCCAGGCTAAGCACAGTCTAAGCGCCACTCTGGTACAAATGTTTACCCAAGTGCGTTTAGACTCTTTATGTACAGGAGCACTTTTGCAATTCTGTGAAAACTATTGAAAAATGTGAAAATGCCGCCAAGCTAAGCACATATAAGTGAAAATGTCGCACAGAATTATTTGCAAATGCGTTTAGACTGTGACTATACTTAGCCCTTTTTCAATTTTGTGCAAATTAGGCAACTATTTTTTTTTTAAATTGAATTCGAAATGAAATGACAATTGTTAATGTTCGGTAAAGATAATGCAAAAATAATGAAAGTTACAGTATTTGTAGTAATATATTTGAAAACGTTTAAAATTTCTCGAATATTTCATTACTGTACGGGAAGTTACAGCAATTTGCCTTAAGGCACGATGCCATGCACCACTAGTTTAAATCTATTTCCATTTGTCTAGGGGTTTGAACATCCAAAGGAATACATTGCAACTCAAGGACCTAAAGAGAGTACAGTTTACGATTTTTGGAGAATGGTTTTGCAGGAAAAAGTATCAGTAATTTGTATGTTGACACAGACTAAGGAAGATGGCAAGGTGAGAATAATCAGCAGTCAACTTTTATAAATATATTTCTGAATTATTTCCAGATTCATAATTTAATTTTTCAATTTTAGGATAAATGTTTCCAATATTGGCCAATCACGAAAGGATCTTCCTTGAAATATAATGATATTGTCGTGATAAATGCACATAGTATGGTTTATGCAGATTATGTTTATAGCACATTGCACGTCCAATCCCAGAATTCTAAACATACGGTAAAAAAATAATTACAAATTCTTGGAATCAATTTAAAAAAAATTATTTTAAATCAGGTGGAACATATGCATTTCGTCAGTTGGTCAGATCACGGTGTAACACAGTATCCTGAATCTTTGGTTTCATTTTTAAGGAAGTTTCAAAATTTCGAATCAGAGAATAATCCCAAAATAGTGCATTGCAGGTATTTAGAAGTAAAAATATAAAATTTGTATTTACACCCAAATTTAATCTTTTTCACAATTCAAAACAACAATATCCAACTCAGTTTTTGATGACCGAAATATTTTTTTATTACTTTTTAGTGCTGGTGTCGGCAGAACTGGTACAATAATACTTGCAGACATATGCATCAAAATGGCACAAAAAACCCAAAAAATTGATGTACTATATCACCAAAAACGGATACGAAAGCAGCGAGCAAACCTTGTAGACAACAATGTGAGATCACCAACCAATTTTTAATCACTTCACAATCATCATACCTAACACCCACTATTTTTTTCAGGACCAATATAAATTGGTGCACATGATAATTTTGGAAAGTCTATTTGGTGCATCCACCAGCATTCCTTGTGTGGAATTGAGGAAATATGTTACAAGATTGAAGCATTCTAAAAAAGCTGGCGAGGAATTACGAAAATTGGCAGTCAACTCTTGGAAGGATGATTATACAAAAGGTTCTCAAGATGCTCCAGCTCAACCAGACATTGAGAGAAAGGAAAACAGGAACAGGATTGTACCAGGTGGGAAAATAAAATCAAGATTCAGAATTACAATGATGATGTTTTATGTTGTTTTTGTAGGATGCAGAGGACGTGTGTTCATATCACGTTTTCCACTTTCGAATGCTGATTCGGATTATATAAATGCAGTCGTGGTTGATGGTTTTCGAATGAAGGCCGAATTTATTGCAACACAATTTCCTTTGGAGCACACCATAGGCGATTTCTGGAGAATGGTGTCTGATAAAGGGATCACATTAATTGTGGTACTAAATGAAATTGATACTAACGACAACGTAAGTATATAACATCTAGCTTTGAGATCAACTGAACATCAGTAAAAAAGATTTAACATTAATTTTGCTCTGTTTGTAGACTGTCAATAATTTCATACCAAATGAAGAAGAGTCAATATTCACTTTACCACGAATTTCTGTAGCTTTCGAAGAGATGCAAATTAATGACAACTGCAAAATCACTGATGTGAAACTCCAAGACGCTGCCAAGGTTACAAATACTTCTTTGACATCACATTTTTGACATCAGTCGAATTAATTTTAAAATTTTTTTATTAACAGCCCCGAAAAGTATTGGAGGTTAAGGTTGTGCAGGTGAAAAACTGGAAATCTGATCAAGTGGTGCCCAATAAAATAATACTAGAGATCTTGAACTTCTCAGATGGCTTTGGGAAATTATACAAAAAGATGTTTATGCAAGTGAAAATAATCCAGTTCTACTAACTTGCTAGTAAGTTGGGTAATAGATAATAGATGCGATTTGCATCTAGTAGGTTTACTGGATTTGGGAAACAAATTTAGAGTTTGGAAAACAATCAAATTTTGTAAAAGTCTAATTAGGTTTTTTGTAATTGTTCATCAATTTTTTTCCTATTTTAGCGACGGAGCAACTGCATGTGGTCTTTTTGCTGCAATGGCATTCGTCATAGAAAAAATGAAGTTGGAACAGGAATGTGATGTTCCTTTAGCAATTAGAACTATTCGAAAACATCGAAAGGAATTTATAAATCACGAGGTGAGTTTGATTCGGAGGTGGGTTTATTTGGATAAAATTGAATGCTCATCCAACTTTGTATTTTCAGGAACAATATACCTACTTATTCGAAGCTGCTTTAGATTATTTAGAAACATTTGATATTTATAACAATTTCGATTGAAATTCAATGCATTTATTTAATCTATTTATATTATAATAATAAAACTATGTAAAGTATACCTTACTTGTATTAATTACGAATGTATAATATAGACTGATATACATATATATTGACTTATATTATTCTAATTTGTAAAATATATTTGGAAGCCTGGTGCTTCCTTAAATGTATAAGACATTCTATAAGATAACATGGAAGTGTACCAACATTTTTCAAAAATGAGTCTTTGTTCATTATTTAATTTCAAGAAAAATACTAAAATCATATATTTTTGTTAATTATTACTATTATGTTTATTAGTTGAATACAATAGTTTAATTATTGTATGTTAGCCGAAACGTATTGATTTAAAATAAATTTGTAAAAAAAAGGATTCATACAATTTTTATTCATGTAACACCCAATCGTTAAACGAAACTAATATATCTTATATATAAAATTCTTCTGTAACAATGTAAGTTTCATATTTCCTCCTAAACTATAATTCGGATTTTCATGAATCTTCCTGAAGTTTGTTCGGGAATTTTTTTAGAATGTTTTGATTCATAGAAATATAGTTAAATTGTAGAAATAAATAGAAAAAATTACAAAAAACCGCTTATCATTGTTTGCCCTTGAAAATATTTGAAGCTTAGTTTGACATTAAAAACAATTGAGGACTGTCATTTGCCAAACATTTCTATTCACTTATAGGCTAAGGCAATATTAGAATATAATAAATTCATAATTATGAATAAGGAAAATGTAATGTCTACATTATTAATGCCGAAAAGCAGCTGAGATGTGCCAAAAATCAAATTAATATAAGATGCAAATAATATAACATGCATTTGACAAGTGATGCAGTCTGCGCATGCGTCTGACGTGCGCGTGGTTTGCTTTTGCTTGCAATAATTTTGTTTGCGCACTTTGCGAACAGATTCGCCGTACGAATTCGCGCAAAGAAGCGAGCCATAAGTGATTGCGCTCAAACATATTCAATTTGCAGTCGTTTTGCCTTACTATACTAAGTCGCAATACAAAAAAAATTATTAAAATTCATATGTTTGTCATTGGGTACGGAATATTTACTCAATGGAGCGCTTTGGGTCTGAACTTTTTACTATTTTCCAATTCGTTTGGAATTTTGGAACTAGGTTCACCTTACTCTTCAGAAGTGAAAACAATTTAGACTCCTTTACCACTTCTCGGGTGGATGACATTTCTTTTCAGTGGTGTAATTTTACTTTTTTCAAAATAACGTTGGGTATCGATAAAAGAACTAATTATACGAGAAAAATATTTAATAATGTTTTTCAAAAAAGGAAATACTTTTCAAGTTACTGGCTACTGAATATTTGTTTCTTTTTTGCGTTTTTCATCATTTGTTGCTAACACCTTCAAAAATATACATTTTAACGAAAATCATGTAATGAACAGAATTATATCAATTAAAATCTTAATAAAACGTTATTTTATAGTGTTTTAGGAACATTATTAGGCTAGATATGAAAATGGGTTTTTATAGTACTCAAAATAAGCTTTAAAATGAGTACTTCTGCGTGTAAAATGAGTGAGCTATCATGCAGATAAAGGACGCATGCAATGTTTTTTTTTTTCATTTAAATCAAATACTTTGAGTGCCATATCCACCAAAATTAAAAATAATCGTATTCAATCTAGAATTAACTTGGTTTAAGAGATCTTGATGGATTCTAGAAAATACCACAACTTTAGTACAAATGATTCTTAAAAAACTCATGATTTCATGAAAAAAAAAACAACCAATTTCTCATCATAATACCTCTGAAAGAATACGTATAAAAGTATATATATAAGAAAATTCGAGGTATTTTTCTGACTAATTATTATTGTTTATTATTTTTTCGTTACACAAATATTGATAGATGTATGATTAATTAAGGAGCTGTCCAACCAGAGATCTTTCGAGCCCTTTAACCCTTCGCCGTTTTACAATAAGAGAAGTTACGGTAAAATTAATGATAGAGAAAGTTGTAGCTCATTTAATCACCTTTAAAATAGTGTATTACAAGTTCTGATAAAATCAGAATTAAAAGAGTAATAATCCAATTAATGCTGTGGATGGTGACGGAGTGCAAATTGTTAAAAACATTGAAATTAAGATAAAGATTAGCCTATTTCCAAAATATCAAGTAAATTGGAGCACAGTAAAAAAAATTTACAGAGCAATAATTTTGTTGATCGTAAGTTGAATAGAGCACATGTGAACAGGATTTGACAAATTAATTCACTTCAAATATAAACTTAAGCAATAATGTATATTGATTTATTAGAGAAAAAAATGCAATTTAGATATTAAAATTAGCCAGTTAAAATAATGTACAAAATTATAAAAATTATAGGCAACATTATTGAAGCAATTATTTTGGGTGAGAAAAATAAAAGGTGATATTGCACCTTTGCCGCGAATGCTATATATTAATTCTTTCTGAATTTGTTGTACTTTTTAAAAGATTTCAATTTTCAACATGAGTATCTTATGCTATGACCATAAATCAAAAAAGCAGACGATCATTTTTAGTGTGATAAATTTGGAAAATCAATGTTTTAGTCGTGAATAAACAAAAAATCATTCATTTATACATCCACATCTACAGGTATGGCTAAAATACTATATAACCCTTAAATGCAATAAAATAAATTGAGCTATTGGAAATAAATTTGTTCTATAAATCGCAGTGTATAATTTTTAATATACAATTTTATTGAACATTTTTTAATATTTGTTAAATAAATAATTAAAGTGTTAACTGTGGGAATTGAGAACAATCATTTTATTTGAAACAGTTCTACATTCAACATCACTTATATATTGGTGTAAATAGTAATTCAAAAAACAGTAATTATTATTTTAACTAAGCAGTAAATATTAGTATAAAATATTGAAAAATTGTAGACGTAGGTACAGAACAACGTCTGTCGGGTCAGCTAGTATATATATATATATATATATATATATATATATATATATATATATATATATGATAGTTTTGTCGACGTTGATACATATTTGTAATATTTTTGCAGAGGGCAATATGTGCTCCTTCTACTTAATTTTATTATTTTACACTAATTTAGTGTTCAATCATTTTACATCATAATTATTTTTTTCTGTTGTTTTTCCTGGTTTGGTATGCATAATTTCCTCCTTTTATATATTTATATTTATTATCAACTGTGTATTTATGTTATATGTTTTTTTAGATTACTGAATGATGACACACATCAAGTGTCGAAACGTTTAATAAAATAAATAATTTTGTTATTTAATCTTTTTTTAATTCGACGGTTGGACTGCAAAAATATTACAAATATATATATATATATATATATATATATATACTAGCTGACCCGCAAACGTTTTAGGATGTTGCTATAATGATATATATTAGGATGTATCTGTGTAAGTATGTGGTGTATAAGTGCTAAAGAAAATGAGGTGATATAAACACAATAAAACCTCAAATTTTACTTTTTCCAATATAATTGGCCATATTTTGCTAATACAATAAAACTGGCAGGTTTACCCACTTCGTATGTTCAATATATTTATTGCAAATTCCAATTAATCAGATATTGATTGCGTTTCGATTTATCTTAAAAAATCAAATAACATATAAATATGCAATTTAAACATCAAAATTTCCTAAATCATTCTCAACATTTTCTAATTTCTACGATACTGAAACATGCCACTCTATTCAATAAAACATTTATAGAAATTTAGACAAGGGCCAAGATCAAGTACAAATATCAATTTGAATCAATTTACAGTAAGGGAAGATAATTTTGAAAGAATTTTATTAACATGCTAGATAGCCCGGTGAACTCATTTTTAATAAAATTTTAAAATTTAATTCCATTGAAGTCAACTTAAATATTCCTCTATATTCAAATATTGTTGTTAAAAATTTCTAACTTTACTTGTTTTTGAGATATTGGCAGTGGATCTTTTTACCCACGAACTTTTAAGCTCCGCTCTCCCCTAATGTTTTTTTTTCGACTATATGTTCATTTTTCGCCAGAAGCGAAATTATAAAATATTTTTCAACCGAAAAACAATAAGTTTGTCATTCGAAAGTGACAAATGAGTACAAGTCTTTGAGGTCCACGACGTGAAAAGCGCGGCTCGCGCTTGAAAATATTTAATATCTTTCGATGTAACAAAGCCTCCAACAATTGTAAAAAGAATTTTGTTGCAGAGAAAAAAAGAAAATATATGTTTTTTTTTGGATTGATTCAATTCGGGTAAAGGCCGAGTAAAACCATTGTAAATATTTAAGGGTTGTTATTGTTAAGAAAATTGCAAAACAAAAACAAAAATTTTAATCATTACAAAGTTCACTTCAATATGAGTGTAAAAAAAAAATAATACTGATCGGATCAGCACATCCGGAGATAATTAATTTACCGCAGATGATGTTCATAGAAATTGAGCAAAAAATCCATATTTCAATCGTAAATATTTACGTAAAAAAAGTTTTTTCAGCAAAATCCTGAAATACGTGTCAAATGATTTTATGAATAGTATCTGTAAACAAATTTTCAGATAATTCTAAAATGTCAAGGTTAATTAGTGTCCGGTTTGTAAAAGAATGACCCATATATATATATATATATATATATATATATATATACAGGGCCGGTCCTGGGGTCCTTAGCGCCCGCATGCAACTTTCTGTCCAGCGCCCTCCCCCCCCCCCTATTAATTTTCACCGTCTTAAAAGTTTATCATTAAAATTATATAAATATTCACATATTTTTTAAAATTAATTTTTATTAACTTCCCGTAGGGTAAGTTATTGTAATGGGCCGAAAATCGGAATTGAAAATTTTTACATTTCTCGACGTTTTGAAGGTTTCTGAACGTTTTGGCATACTTCAGAAAAAATGGATGTGTGTGTGTGTGTGTGTGTGTGTGTATGTATGTATGGAT